GCAAGGAGAAGCCAGGCTCTGTACCCTGTCAAGCCACCTGCCCCAGGGAGTCTCGAATCCTACAGTTCAATGCCCAGCATGTTCATAGTTACCATGTGATGGCTGTCCCCCTTCACATGCCAGCTGCTGACCCTGTACTCAGGTCCTGGGCTGTATTTCCCTGGAAGTGCAGATCCACCCTTAACAAAGGAGCAAAAACTCCCCAGGCTCAAAGTACCCTTGGAAACAACCTACTGAGCCCCAAATCCTCCAGCTTCTCCCTGCTCCTGCCCCTGCCCCAGGACCCTCAGCGGCATGGCCTGTTCTCATGGTCTTTACAGATGAGAAGACCCAGGCCTGGCACTTAGGTCACAAGACAGTAGGCAGATGCCTGAGACCCAGGGCCCTGTGTTAAGGGTGCCAAGCCACACTTCCTGAGCCACTCAGACAGCCATCAGGAGGGGACCATGGAGCAAAGGATATGCAAAGGTATCTCTTCTCCTGGCCTGCCTGACTCGGGGTGAAACCATGGCTCCTTTAAACCACTCCTGACTCTGCTGGTTCTGGCTGAGGGTATATGGCTGGAGTTCTCAGAGTACAGCTGTAGGGTGAAGGGGATGCCTCTGGCCCCAAACTGGGGTGGTAATGCAGGTGCTAAGGTTACATCTGGGCCACTGGCCACCTCTGTGTTGAGGCAGAAGGAACCACAGGCCATGGGCTGAGGTGGAGATGAAGAGGGCTGCTCTTGCCACCTCCAGGGGTCTTGGCTCTCATTCCCCACCACCCAGCCCCTGCCCAGCCCAGCCCTCCTGGGCTGGTGAGACTCCACATACAACTCAGCAATAAACTCTTCCTCCCATGTGGAGGGTGAAGGTCAAGAGACCTGTTACCTGGCAGTGTGGTCTGAGGTGATAAGAACTCAAAACTTTGTTGCTGAGAGTAGAAACTTCGGAAGACAGTTTGCAAAATCTGTCACCACACAGCCAACATGCACACATGCCACCCAGGCATCTCCTGCAAGGCCAGGATCCCTCAGACACTGGTTTACGGGAATCAGGGCTCTGGGAGTGCTACCAGTGAGAACAAAATGCTAGAAACAGCCCAACCTGGCCTGGCTAGGGAACCTGAAATATGATGGTGACAGCTTTAGAGAACCAGGCAGATCCAGACGTTCCTGCAAAGAGCATTCTCCAATACAAATTACAGAGTGACAACAGCAAGTGGGCAGCATGTTGCCACCTGTGTAAAAATAAGGAGGGACAAGGCCATGTCCTGTCCTGTGCCCAGTATCCAGCAGGCCCTTCAGGAAACCAAGTGTGGAGGCAGACTCCCCCTGGAGACCCTCTGGTGGGGCCTCACTATTTTGCTGGGTGTTACTCTAAATCACAAGGACAAGGCACTGGGGCTCAAGTGCCCGGGGCTGGCCCACGACCCCAAGAGGGCACAGCGTGCTCTTTTGTCCCAACCACAGCCTGAAAGCTGAGTGTGAGCCATGCCGGAGGGCTCAATCGTGGGCTTTGTCTACATGCTAATGTGGGGTGGGCTGGTGGGTGGCCCCTCCCCTCCAGCCCAGCTCCAGACCGGCTGAGCACAGCTCTGTCTGGCAGAAGCCAGGTCACACGCACAAAAGGGTCCTTCTCCTCCCTGGAGTCCAGACCTGAACACGAACAGAGTCAGCGGCCCCCAGGACGGTCTGAGAAGGGGGCAGCAACCCTGTAAGCCCGGGCCTCTCCTGCCCTCTGGGCCAAGCTCTGACATGTCATTTCCCGAAGGACCACCAGAGGCCGCCCTCCACTGCCAATTGGGAGCAAGTGGCAGGACCGTGGTTCCCACACCAGGAGGGTACCCGCCTTCCCTGGGCAAGAGGCCTCTCTGAGCAAGGGCTCTGCCTGTAGCACTCTCTGCTCTTTACCCACCAGCTGAACACCAGGGCATCACTGTCTCTGGCTAGGCTGGGAAACCACCTTCCCTACCCCGTGCAGCACTCAAGGCTGGTGACCCATTGAGGTACTTGGGAACCCAGCAGCCCTAGGAACTGGGGAGAGGAGGCTCCCAAGTATGAGTGAGAGGAGTGTGCCTACTCCACTATCCCGGGACAGCAGACAGAGAGAAACTTCCAGACTGTACTGGAGCTGATCAACCAACTTGGCTAGGCTGGGAATCCATCCCTAAGGGTGTGGATCCCACCTCCATTGGCCCTCGCCACTGGGGCCCTTCTGCAGCATGCTGAGAGCTGGAAAGTGGGGCCTGGGCTCTGTGGTCCATCCAGAGCTGGAGACACGATGTCCCCAGTCCCCTCAGTGGGCTGTCCGGAACCCCCCACCCCAGGCTACAGTGTGAGTGCACAAGATTTCAAAGGCTCTTTGGCTGGGAGGAAGCACTCAGTCATTTAGACTCCAGCAGCAGGTAAGGTGGCCAGTGCCCCTCCAAACATAGGAGAGGCTTGAGGCAGCTGGGGCAGAGGTGGCCACATCTTCCCATCCAGACCCTGTGGTCAAGTCCTGCCAACCATGGGGGCTACAGGTGCCACCCAAGTGCCCCCACCCAAATACTTCTCTGCCTGCCCGAAATCCACCTCTAGCTACTTGCTTGGATCTGAAGGGTTCAGAGCTTCCAAATGCCAATGGCACTGAAGAGGGGGCCTGCCAGGACCCTACTAGGAGACTGTCTGAGGGCTTGGGATGCTGCCTGTGTTGAGAAGGAGGCCCTGCCTAGGAGCCCCTGCTGCAGAAGCCTCATAAAGAATCGCTTGATCCTCCGACCTGCCAGGCTTGTTGGGGGCCCCCAGCCTGGGGGTGGTGGAACCCTCTAAGTCTGTTCTCAATTTTCCAGGTCCACAGGAGACTCCAACCCGGGCAGCTGAGAAGGAGAGAGGTTTGTAGGAAGAGGTCATTGCCCCCCTACAGAGCTCCCCAGCTAAGCTTGGGACAGAGAGTGC